GAATAAATGGAATAAGTGGATGAAATTTTGACATGCAATCCAAGTTAAAGTTGAAATTGTGATGAGAAATTTCTGTTTCACAAAGCAGACACATACTGAACTTCTTTGTCATTAGTTTATTTTATCATGTACATCTTTTGTGCCATGAGTGGAACAACTAATATTGTTGTGCCCTCTTAACCAAACACTTCAAATTAAATCTCAATTGTACTTGGTTTTATGTTGGAGCATATACATATGGAGCAGCCATATAGTATATAATGCTGTAGTTTTGTGATTAATTTTTTTTTTTATTAATTTCATACTGGAATTCATTGAAATAGGGGCCATAACTTCAGAGTGCATCTAAAACAGATGAATCAAGACCTATCATGATTAATAAGTACAGTATTTTGATGAAATGAGGAAAAAACTTTTGAAAGAAATAGGTATTGCCTTTCATTAAACCTACCTTATTTGAACTAGTAAAAATTCTGTATACTTCCTTCTGAATCAACTTCTTTGCTCATATACCTTTCTGCTCTTTCAAAGAGAAGAACATATCTTGTAGGATACTGTTTCTTTGAAAGAAAGGCATAAAACTAAAAATGTAGCTAAATAATTTCCAAGAAATATGTCATGTTGTACATTTCTTGAACCCCTAGCTTTCTCTACAAAAATCTTTAGTCTCTCGAGAAATCGGAATAGTGCATCCTTTCCTTCAATAAAATGAGCTCATCAAAATGACATTTCAATAAAATGGTGCCTATGGAGAAAGTGAGAAACTGCCAGGACAAAAAAAAAATAATATAAAAAAATGTATTGTAATCAGATTCATTTTGATGAAATTCTACCATATGTGTGAGTGAATTCTAGCCTCAGCAATCCTTTGTTCTCTGCAAATTATACTTTTAATTGTGCAAGGAAAAATTCACATTTCCTTTTTGCAAAGGAAAATTAGGCCCATTTTTTTGGTGCAGCATCAGGCCCAAATTTGGTTTAATCCGGACCTCCTCTTGAAAAAAAACTGCAGAACCAGAAAAAAATTGAGTTCTGTGAGTTCCACAGTATTTTTGTTGGGGGAAAGAAAGAATTATAGGACGTCGTAATTGGTGATATTCTGGGGCTTAAATTGCTTCTTAAATAAATAGACAAGATGCCAAATTTGGAGGCAAGGGCTCATTTGCTCAATTGGTCTCTTAATTCCTTTTAAAGTGCATCAAGATACATTTTTATTGCTTGTCTCTTCCCAGTGAAATTAATGTAAAATAATAGCCGAAAGGAGGTTTGAGGGGGAAAGCCTTCGAATTGGGGAGTTTTTCAATTATTGGCTTTTAAAGGAATTCCGACAAGGACTTGAAAATAATTCGATATAGGGAAGTTCAACTACGACTCGTGTACAGTACTAAACTTACCGCGTGTTCTCTTTGTGATTAAAGCAGATATTGAGTGTCCTGGAGACGGTGAATCTAATCCGACCGAAGCTCACACGGCGATTAAAAACGAAGAGCGCTCGAGACCAGCGATTGGAAGTGCTCTGGTCTCTGAAGTTGCGACTGCTGGAGATGAGAAAAGTATTATTAGTGCAAAACCGAGCCCTGGTTTGCGGGCGGAAGATCTGGTATCTCCTGTGCCGCACATTCCATACAAGGTGGGAAACTGAATTTTTAATTGCTTTTACTATTCGATCGTTTTTTGCTACTTTAACTAATTAATTGTTTTTTTTATTACTTTTTTGGGTGAAGTTCACTTCATCACTTTGCGATCTACGTCTAACGTAACATTAACTTGCCCACTTGAAGAGCTTTGCGTTGGGGATGTCAATTATACTGTATATATTGAAGGGAACTCAGACTGGACCAACATTTTACTCGAAGAAGTTTGAGGTTCAACTGTAGTACATCTCATGTGTAGAAATACGGTAGTTTGGTTTTAAACTGCTTGCTGTTAATGTTACCGCAAAACAAGAAGGAATAAAACCCTGCTGGTGCGTGATTGTGAATATTAATCGAACTGTGACTGACTAAATGTGATAATCTAAAGGTTCTCAGGAAAATTACGAACCATTTCGAAGGCGAAGAAAGCGTTGGACTGAAACCAGGGCGAAAGTTGGGCTCTGGTGGGACCGGAACAGTGTATCTTGGTGTGTTTGGGGATGGAAAACAAGTGGCTGTGAAAAGGATTGATAAAGAGAAGGTTCAAATGGACGTTGTGACGAGGCAATTCATCATGGAAGTCGAGAATGTGGCGAAGTACAGTATAAAAATCCGTTATTGCTTCATCCTCGTTTTGAAAGATAATACAGCAAATTAATGTATTTATTCGTGGGCTTTCATTGAATTTCAGGTATTCGCATCCGAATATTTTGGAAATCTTGGGATATTCGGTGGACGGACCTTTTCCGTGTGTGTTGTACGATTTTCTTCCCGAGGGATCTGTTTTGGACCATCTTCTTGGAAGGGTAAAATTCTTGCATTTGTATTTCTTCGGCCCTCTCGGGAGTTTTTCATCCTTGTTGAATTTACTGGGCCACGAGGTTGTGCAAAACTTCGCTTTTTTTTTTTGCATATAAATTATATATGATGAATCTCTCATGAGTATATGTTGCGAGTCACCTACGAATTTTCATTGTAGCCGTTTGAAGGCTTGTACCTTTAGTATACATTTTAAAATTACTTTTTCAATTCGTGAAAAAAATCAATCATGAAAGAGGTTTAAGATGAGATATGATTAGAATTTATTCGTTGAACGTATTATTTCAAATAATTTTTCCACCATGAGCATCGGGTCGCTGAGTTGGAAAGTTTTCATTTTAATTTTTGGAGATCTCTTGAATTGGCTTCGCGTTTTCTCTAAATCTAAGCTGGATTCACAGTCAGTACTTGAGGGAATTTCGTTTTTTGTAATTTTTTTCCTGTAGCTTCTAGGAAAATCGGTGGTACTTCGATTCCGACGATGAAATTGTCAAAATCGCGTTTCATGAGTTGGAAGACGTGGAGTTTTGTTCTCGAACATCAAGAAAAATCATTTTCAAGATCTGTGACGGAAAAGCCTTTTGAAAAGTTACATGGTAAAAGAAGCAATTGATCATTTTTGGAGAAATCGTTTCTGGCTCACTTGTTAACTTCACAATCCCAAAAATTTGCGGTAGTTTTTCATTTGCCTTTGAGTTGTATATGAGAAGACGTGACGTCGTCCTTTTTTAATGAAACTATAATGAGAGCTAAAGTTAATTTCGTAGATGTGTAATTTCCATTCTTAGACCACATCCCGTGGTTGTTTTTTTTGCGATTTGCGTTTCGTTCAAGAAACTTCCGAAGTTTTTGGAAAACAGTCGTTTCACTTTATTTTTGGATAGGTTTTAAGAGGTTGTCGCCGAAATCGAGAGAAAATCTTGGTGTCGTTTTTGAAATCAGATAAAATTGTTTTGTAGGATAATTTTGGAACAACGAATTATTTCCCTTGTATTTCCCTTTCTATAGTTCAACAGGTCAGTGTTGCCATGGAGAACGAGAGTCCGGATTGCGAAGGAAACAGCGAACGCGTTGCAATATTTCCACTCTCACGGGAAGCGAGCTTTGATACACCGTGACGTCAAATCCGCCAATATCCTGTTGAATGAGAAGTTCAGCGCCAAACTCGGGGATTATGGATTTGCGAGATACGGTGCTGAAGAAGATTCCTTCACCAAGACCTCGAACATTGTGGGCACCCAGGCTTACATGGCTCCCGAAGCATTCAGAGGCGATATTTCTGTGAAATTGGACACGTTTGGTTTTGGTGTCGTTTTGTTGGAGTTGCTGACTGGGATGCCGGCTTACGATGATAAGAAGAGTCATCCTGGGAAAGATTTGGTTAGTCCTTTTTTGCTGTTGAGAATGTGATGTGTGTTTTTTTTTTAATTCAATTTTTTATGCGTCAAATCTTCAAGCGTAACAAGAGAAAATTTGTCTCCTATCTCTGCGTCGGATTTGTGTAGTGTCGAACAAAGTTGAATCGACTTATTTTTTCGTTGGTCTCACAGACGTCTTTACTCATACTATAACGGTTCTGGACAGCAAAAATATCTCTGCAACGAATTCTTTCTGGTCCCTTGAATTTTTTTGTGGAAAGAGTCCACTTGTATATCCAAATTTTACTTCGCCATTTTCTGAGTCATTAATTTACAAAATATTGTTTTAAAAAGGTTTTCGGTGCAAAAAACTTTTCTAAATTCCCTCTGGGTTTGTTTGCGAGAAGATTTACTGTATCTGATGCCTTTAATGTTAATTTTGGACAGAAATATTTGAAAATTTTCTCTTTTTTTGCAATTCTTGGTAAAGAAACTTACAGGAGGTACATCTCAAGAATTTAGGGTCTGTTTTAAGGAGTTCTACGAAGAATTACAGAAAAGCGATTGAGCAACTGTCCTCATTCTTTCATGATAATTTCATTTTGTCAATTTCTTTATGTAAATACTTACGCAATCTTGAAGCAAGAGTTGCTACAGTAGTAGTAAAAATTTCTTGAAGCAATTATGAAATCGGCCATTGATTAATTTCAAGTTCTGAATTGTGTTAATTTGATTTTTGATGCGTTTTCCTTATTAAGTTTTTGATGTTTCTTTCTTTTGTGTCAGGTTTCTTTCTTGAAGGAGAAAATCGACGATGATCACCGTCTGATTGTCGGGTATTTAGACGCAAATGCAAACTGGGATTCGGAAGTAGCTTCTGGCTGTGCGAAAATCGCCTTCTTTTGCGTTCGTGACAAGAATGAAAGACCAACCATGGATGTGGTCCTGCGGGCTCTAGAGGCTGTCGTTACTGTCAGCAAAGCGGATTCTATTGATAATCAGTGAACTCCCTTCCAAGAAATATAAAATGATAATATTTTCGATATCTATCGATTCAGTGACAATACTTCATTGCATTGCCCTTGTTATTATGATGATAATTTGAAGTACTGTACTGTATTTGCGAACAGGCGAATGAAGTGATTTCCGCGAGAAAATAATTATGTACTACTACTCACGTCCAAGAAACATGTTTAGTACGCTTCGAAGATTTAATTGCGTAGTTTGGATTTTTGTGATCGCAGTTCTTGGGTTTTTGACCGTGGTTTACATCAATGAAACGAAGAAGGCTTTGAGCGAACAAAACGTTGTCGATGATCTTCCAAAGAAAGGGCATGCGTCTCACTCGAATGCTCGACTTGAAGAAAAACGATCTGAGAAAAATCCAGAAGTTGACAAGCCAAAGCCCGGAGTAATAGAACCTCTACGAAAAGCGGAAAAATCCGACAAAGTGAGTTTATTTTCCTGAATTGAAAAATTTCCATCGTTTTGAAGCCTAGATTTTATTCTAATTTTTTTTTTTTTTAGTTGACATATTCGCCGATGCAGGGTGCGGGGGTGATAAGGAAACAATTGCTAAATTTTTAAATCATTGTGTGTGTAGAATTTTTCGTTGAATGCACGAATATATTCGATTATATATTCGATCTTTTCTGAAAATTTAATCTGAGTTAGTAATGTAACCCATAGAAATTCAAAAAATTGCATCAAGTTGTAGTTGATGGGATGTGAAAAATATTATCGCGAAAAGAACCATTTTAGAACTGCTTTTTTTTTACCAGCACCTGAACGTTTTGACGTAATTTTGAAGTACTGTAAATGTATAAAGTAGTGGGTTACAATTTATTTTTGTACAGTCTATTGAAATTTTCTAGCTTATGTGAGGAAAATGTAACGAAATACAGTATTTGCGGAAAGGAAATGAGAGCTTCTCAAAATAACCCAATCTAAATCCTATGGTGCATCAAGAAATATTTAAGCTTCTGGAGTTTCTATCCTGAAGGTGAAGTTCCACTTTTTTTAAGGCAGTGTTCATTTTAATGAATACTTATTCACGTTTCAGGGTTCTGAGCAGATTTTCCGTGAGAAAATCGTGCATCTCGATCTCAAAGGCGGCCCTCCGAAGGTCGCCTACATCAAGGAATTTTTCAAATTAATCCGAGCTTTCGGAGCAACCGGAGTCTTGATCGAGTACGAAGATACTTTCCCGTATTCTCTCATATCATCCAATTCTTCTATTCGTTACTCTCTGAAAGAAATCCGAGAAATTCTGGACTCAGCCTCGGAGCACGGACTCCAAGTAATCCCACTTCTCCAGACTTTCGGCCATTTGGAATTTATGCTGAAAAGACGAGAGTTCGAAGATTTGAGAGAGAATGTTTCTATTCCACAAGCGATTTGTCCGTTGAAGACTCGGGCTGTGATGACAGTGAAATCAATGATTGACGAGGTCATGGAAGTTCATAAGCATTACAATGTCTCTCGGCTTCATTTAGGCATGGACGAGGTTTACCTCCTTGGAACATGTTCGAAATGTCGAGAACGGAACGTGCATGACCTTTTTTTGGACCATGTTTCAACTATTGTGGATCATGTGGAGGAAAAGTATCCCGGCGTGAAGAGTTTGATTTGGGACGACATGCTGAGAAAAATGTTGAGAGAATCGGGAAATTCTTTCTCTGTCCCTGCGAAAGCGCTGAAAAAACTGCGGAAAAGGGTCGAGCCGGTTGTTTGGTGGTACAGGAAGCTTCCCGAAACCCTCAAAAGCCAGGACACGTTTTTCAAAATGAGCCAGTATTTCGGTTCAGTTTGGGCAGCAGGTGCGTTCAAGGGTGCCGATGGGTCCACCGTTTTGTTGCCCAAAATTGGAAACAGGCTGCAGAATCTGGTTCAGTGGTTGGACAATGGATTGAATCAAGGAGCCCTGTTGGGGCAAGGGGGTTTCGAAGGGATCGTATTGACTGGTTGGTCGCGCTATGATCACTTTTCTGTCTTGTGCGAGTTGCTGCCTGCTGGAATGCCGTCGTTGATTCTCAGTCTGGCTGTTCTGAATTCCTTGAATTCCAGACGCAGTTACAGAAACTCCCTGGAGCCGAAGCATTTGCAAGAATCTGTGGTGAGGGTTTTTCAGGAAGATACTGTACAATATTTCAATTGAGAAGCGATTTTTTTTAACACAAAGGGTTTTTCGGGAGTGTTTCGAGAGTCGCCGACGTAAATTGATCCCACTCATTTTCTAAAGTTCGGTGTTGATTAATAAAGAAAATCTGAATTCCTCCGATTATTAAATTGAACTCGATGAGATTAGTTACAGCTGAAATGAATTGTTGAATTTTGATCTTATTCTATAAATGTTGTAAACAGTATACAGGTACTTTAAAAAATAATTGGCCATTCTAAAATGAAGCCAGATAAGTTTGGATTAGAGCTTTAAACTCCTGCAATGCTGAATTTCCTTTACAAGAAGATAAACAATTTGTTTTAAAGATTTTTCAATTATGCACAAGTCGGACTTACCCATATCGCCCCAATTAGTAAAATTTTGGATGGCCGATGCACGAAAAATCAAGACAAAAGATTGTTGTGCTGATATTATAGAGGAAAATTAGTTTGCTATTACGAAATTTTTATCCGTGTATGCAAAAACTTTTGGAACCAAGAAAAGAATTCGTTGTAAAGAAATCGTACTGTATTCAAGGAGAGCTCTATGAAGAAAACAGAATCGTTCTTGCTTGTTTCTTTTTGTTTCAAGTCAGCTTGTAATTTTTTCCACCAACTCGTGCTTCTCAAATTGAAAAAAAATTAGCATTTTTAAAGTTGTGATTTTTTTCTCATTATTTTGCAGGTTGAACAAATCACCCGTAAACTCGAATGCCCGCAGTTCTCAGTGACTACGAAGGATCTGTTTTCCGAAAATGCCCCAAGCGTATACAGTGCATTCAGGGCATGCTCATTTCCAGGAAACCAAGTCTTTCTAGTTTTGAACGAGCTTGAAACGTTCCTGGAGGGTTTTCATGCGTGGAAGAAAAACTCTAGAATCAGTGGTTGGATGAACGAGTACAATTTTCGAAGGAATTACTTTCATATCTCGGCTTGCCCCAAAGTTTGTAGGAATCAAGTCAAGGATCAAAGCAACGCGCTTCAACGTTTGATTGACAATTTGAAGGCATCTTTCAAAGTCGTGTTCCCGAATTTCGTTGTCGAAGAATTCGTTGAGCTTAAGTTGAGAGAACCTGTGGAATTTCTGGGTTCCTTGCGCGAACAATTTCGCAAAGCTGACAAAAACGTGGACTGGCCTGACAGACCCTTTAGTCCCGATCCAGTCATTGTTCAAATACTCAATTAAGATTCGTGTTCTGAGATTTAAATTTAGAAACTCTGGTTGCGCATTATTGCGAGTTGATTGTGATATTTCACGTTTTCCGTGTGTGACATCGTTTAGATCTTCACGTAAATGCTCTGGATTTTGAGACATATTTTGGCATTGTTCGGTGCGGCATATTGGTTGTGACAGGAACAAAGGTTTTTTGATGGGGTTGACACTGATCAGGCTGATTTCATGCCATGATTATTATTTTTACCTTTATTTTTTCCATCGTGTTCCCGAAAATGTGACCGAGGCTTTCTCTAAATTTTTCATAATCAAAAATGCTAGTTTTATAAGCATTTACTGTACTGTAATGCGACATTTTCTGATGAAAAACTCGAGATTCTAGTTTTGAATATTGCACAGTTTTACTATTGAAATTTTTGCTGAAATGGAGAGTACAGTGTTTCATTCATTTTTCTCCGAGAAATGGAATGCGTGAGGCTCTCTTTTTAAATTATGTTCTGTGCAACGCATGAAGAATTCTACGATACATTCATTTGAATTAAGTACAATAATTTCAGTTGATTACAGAGTCATAACCTGGAATTTCTGACATTCCTGCAAATTTTGCGTTGTCAATCTCCAAAGGGAAGACATTTTTTACTGCGTATGATTTATTTATTTCAATAAGGGTATTTTGGAACAGGGCTGGAGCATCAATTATGTTTCATCCTGTCCAATTTATTTAAAATTTTGAAAGTCATCTGGTATGATTGCCTGAGAGAAATATGTTGAGATTCAAGTCAACAGCGTAAAATTTGACAATATTCTGACATATTGTAAACGGTTCCCGAGATTTTCAAAAGAAATGCGCTAAAATTACTCCGAATTTTCTCCTGCAAACATTCTTACACATTTGAATTCTATTTCTGAAAAATGTGTTTGAGAATTGTTCCGAGTTTCACTTTCGGGTAAACACGTTTGTTTCAATTTTTTGTTCCTTGAACAATTTCAGTGCTGAGTCTGTTATTTTATTTTATAGAAATGAGTCACAGTGTTCCTGTACCACCTCCTCTTCCAGTGTTGGATATTGGAGAGAGGAAGGTTTGTTCGCCAGTACCTAAACCCTTGGACCTTCGGGATGAAGCTGCTAAAATTGCGCAGAAGCTATCTGAGGAAAATACGAGTGAACCCAATCGAGAACCCTTCATCTACTTCGGTTCCAAAGTTGACATCATCACCCCTGTGCTACAACAAGGGCCGACGTATGAATTTTATGTCTCTTCCAGATTTCGAATTAAAGATTATCGAGCTTGAATGAAAAATTGTTGAGCTGTAAGTCTAGTCTAGGTTGAACGGAAACTGTTATAGGCGTGGATTCCTTGGGTTCTTTGAAATTTAATTTACAAAACAATAAAGTGCGAATCGATTGATCTCCAAAGAAGCATTCAATAGAATCTGAGTAACTGTATAGGATGCATTTTTTTCTCGCCAGAGTATGTGCATGTTCGATTTTTTTTCAATTTAATTGGTAGGGTTTTTGTGTGATGATACGTTTTTTTCTTTTTCCAGTGTTTCTTTTCTTGAAACAGTCGTTATTGGTAAAAAAAATTGAAGTAAGGAAATTAATTAGAAAAAATCACGCTTTATTTCATATTCGTTATGCACTTCTGCTGAATTGAAGGAAGGAAATTAATTAATTAATTGATTAGAAAAAATCACGCGTCATGTTTGTTTTGCCCTTTCGCTCTGTTCATCTTCCAGGTTTAAGCGCAATTTGTTATGTGAAAACGTGTCATTTATTTGTCGAATTTATTTCAGTTGTGGCCTCGTGGCAGCAGAAATGGCGAGCAAAATGTTACTCACCTCAGGACAATTATCTGTGGAAGACCTCCTTGTTCATTGCATTCGAAAGAAAACGACCACCCATGGCGAAATGTTTTCTGCGGATTGGCTAGGATCAGCTGTTGCTGATTTGAACCCGAATTTGAGCTTCTCTGTAGAAAATGCCAATGATTTTGAGTCGATTTTCCTGCATTTACAAGCGGGGAATCCGATTCTCATTCCGTGAGTTCGACGATAACAAAATGTACTGATTTTATGATAGTGAGTCAGATTGTGATGTTCTTCTTTGCTTCATTTTAGCTATGATACCGATGCCAATCATCAGCCCGCGTTGAAACGGGGTCACAAGGCTCATTGGGCAGTAGTTTTTGCTGCTGTGATCATCCCCGGGTCATCTGATGTAGTCCATCATAAACCAGAAAGGACATGGTTATTGGCCTTGCATGGGAAAAGCTGCCACGTTCAGGTGTGGCAGTACGCCGATTTTCTTGAAAGCAACCTCAATTTGTCAGAAATTAGCCCAGAAAAGGCTGACTATTGTGTTCCTGACGGTGGGATTGAGGAAGGTCTCAAGGGAAAAATTATTCTGTTGAAACTGCGCTGATTGGACCTCTGAAACCTCTACCTGATGGAAATTGGCAGCTTTTGTGGTTGTCTTTTTGAAATGATTTTTTTGTCTTGTCAGAAAGTGTGCAGGAAATTTGATGGTGCTATTGCAGTGAGTGGCCAAGTGTGACTGGCTACTTACTGATTCTACTTTGCATCTATTTATTGAAGATTGCTAATTAGTTCAATGTGAAATGCGCTCATCAAATAGCAATTGGTGCTTGTATCACTGTATTTACTTGGGAGTGCCACTCTCACACCCTTTTTCTCATAATTCTTTGTTGTGAATTATTCTTTTGCATCATTGAGAAGAAAAAGCGGTACTTTCCTGTTATCTCAGTACCTTTCCTTTTCTCTAAATCTAAGCTGGATTCACAGTCAGTACTTGAGGGAATTTCGTTTTTTGTAATTTTTTTCCTGTAGCTTCTAGGAAAATCGGTGGTACTTCGATTCCGACGATGAAATTGTCAAAATCGTTCTGCTTTCTTTGGGTTTCTGCTGAAACTGATTTTCGGAGGCTGTTAGGTAAAGTTAGGTTAGGTCAGGCTATGTCAATTAAAAGATGTTTATAGCTAACATAACCTGACCTAACCTAACTTCACCTAATTTTTCTGCATTCTGCCGAAACTGATTTTGGGAGGCAGTTAGGTAAAGTTAGTTTAGGTCAGGTTATGTTAATTAAAAGACGTTTATAGCTAACATAACCTGACCTAACCTAACTTTACCTAACTACCTCCCAAAATCAGTTTCAGCAGAATGCAGAAAAATAAAATTCAGTTTCTGGTAGGTTGTCATGATTATGAACTTGTCCTAAAGATTTGTCTGGATGGTAGTGAGGTCTAGGAATGAGGTTCTGAGATAACAGGAAAGTACCAAAAAAGCACCAATTGCAAAAATGAGGATATTGAAATTTTTAGATCGTGAATTTTCAAGATCAGATCTGATTGAAAAAATGTGATACGCTCATACAGTACCAGTATTCTCCCGCACAAGTTAACTTTTGATGGGTTCAGAAAAATTGCTTGTGCAGATAGAGGTGCACTTTCTTTCTCATCTGTTACTTTATTCAGTTCGTTTTTTTTTATGTTGAGAGAGTGTTTTATGCCCAAGTAATGACATATGCATTTGGGCATTTCTTGGCTCTTCAGGAAGGTTTTGAACTGCTTCACTTGATGGAAATCTTGACAAGAATGGCTTTCACGGAAGCCATAACCTGTGTTGTGCGAGTAATTTTTCAGTGTACTGTATATGTTATCGAATGATCATTGCCGAAAACATTGAAATTCGTTTCTTTTCAGAAAAATAATACGAAAAAGAAAGTGATTGTCTGTACATTTTTTGCGTGTGCTGCAATCCGTACCGTTTACTGGGAAATTCTGAGGAGATTTGAGACCCCTGAGACCTGAGAAGAGAGTTGAATACGTGTGGAAGAAAGTGAAATCTGTGACCCAACTTGTTAGTGATTTGTCATCTTTGGTGGAGAAACGTATGAACTGGTGAGTACAGTACTTATAATTTTTGCTGGTTTCGGTATTTGAGAATCCGCAAAAATTGTTCGGACGGAAGGAATTCCAAAGCGTTCACACTCCCTCCTATAAATATTTGGAAAATATGAATATAGCTTATGGCAAATCAAAGAAATTGGGAAATTACAAGCGTATTGTTCGGTATACAGTATTTTATGAAACTCTCCTCGATTCCACTTGAAAAGACAGCATTTCCACAGGCACGAAGTACGAACGAGGCAGTGATTACACGTATGAAAAGAAAAACATGCGATGAAACCTCGAAAGCGAAAGCAGATGAAATCAGCACAAGTTTCCGTAATAAAAAAAAATCAGTTCTTCGCACCTGAGCTTTTCTTCGCATGCTAACTTCACGCAAGAAATATTAAATCCAAAACTACAATGAAACCTTTTATTATGCACGTGGAATTCCCACAAAATAATTTGTGGTATCAGGAAAGAGAAATCGTTGTACTGTATAGTGAATTTCTTTCTGGAGAACCCCATGGGACTAAAAAATCGTTGAAGAGAAAATCCTTGTTGACAAGATCCTTCTATGCCGATTCCACCACCTGTATGAACAGAAAAATCACTCAGTTGTCCATGCACATGCGCAATTTTCATCAGTTGAAATTAGGGAAAGAAGAGTCACAGCACTTTCTGATGAAAACAATTTTTATTTCATTTTAAATGTTGACGTGATTAAATAATCTACCCCATTATTTTTTCATTTTTTAATTTGCAGGAGTTATGGAAATACTCGAGACAACCCGTAGCCGGCCTAAAATTGCGTACAAGGGCTATCTTTACGTGATGTACTCAGACAGGAGAAAGAATAAGAAGAACCACATCATCTGGAAATGCGAGAAAAACGACTGCAAAGGAAGAGCAACTACGCCCCTGGACTACGAAAATCGAATCGGTGAAGACGTCGTTGAAGTTCAACAAGAACATTATCATCTGGCGGATAATGTGGATTTGGAAGTTGCCGCTGTGAGAGGAGAAGTGATGAAACGCGCATTGAACAGCAGGGAACCTGTTGGCGAACTTCTTTCTGCTGTTTTGTCAAAATTTAGTGTTACCCAACGTGCTTTAGCAGAAATTACTGCCAGTAGCAGTGGCATCAAAAAGGCAGCGCAACGTTTAAGGAGTAAACATAACATTAAAGTGGAAGTTAAGCCTTCAATTAAAAAAGAAGGTGGAGATGGTAAAAGAAAATCGGCCCCACGTCCAAGGAGGAGAAAGAAGAAGAAGAGTGAGGAAAGCAGCACCTCATCATCACAACCTCTGCAAGCAACACTTATCAAGAAGGAGGAAATTAAGCTTGAGCGTCCAACTCCAACACTCAGATTCACCTGGGGCAAGGCCAGAGTGGAAAGGGTGGATCAAATCATTTAATTAACTGAAATTTTGTATCTGTACTTGCTTGAGCAAATACTTTTTCTTTGATTGAATACAGTATGTATTCCAAAAAGGCGAGTTGAAACAGATGTACCGTAATTTAAAAAAATCTATATTCAGCTCTTATTTCAGTACAAATATGATTGTCTAAAATCTCCAGCACTTTTCAAGATACCCCTTTCTAAAATATATTATTTTTTTCCTGATACAGTTGGTGAAACCATAGATGATGCATTTTTCTAAATGGTACATAAGTACCCACTCCATGGCAAGTAGGCATTAAATGGGTTGGTGTTGCATATCACAGATGGCCAAATGAGTTATCTGTCATCGAATGTGTCCAGAATGATTTTCAAAAAGCATAGTTTACAGAAATTTGATTTGAGACAATCATTCTTGAGCTCAAATGAAAGCTGAAGTTGTAAAACATTTCAAGCTATGTTTGTTTCAAATTGTCTACTACAATGTAGAATACTGCAATCACATGAAGACATTTATTTGCTCAAGCAAGCAGAAAATTGCAGTTAAATTGCTGCAAAATCTTTTGTGCTGTGACTGCTGAAAGAGCAGCATGATTTGTAAAAAATTAACTTGTCGTGCTTTCCGTTGTTTTTGTTTTATACTTTTGTTTTGAATATCCTGGTCATGCCAAATGTATGATTTGTTTTTAAATGCAAAATTGATGGTTTACTTCGGATTAACAAGTCAATTTTCAAAAGTTCGTGAAAATGTTTCAGGAAAGATCTTTCTTTGCACATTTTCCCATAAATAATGTGTTCTTGCATTCTGTGCAATTTTTTGTAGCAAACTTTTTTTATTAAATCAAGAAAATAAGCAGGAAGTAAAATCCATGTTTCAAGGAATCTTGGCAAGTGGATTTTACTGTATTTTTTGAAGTAATAACCACCGCTGTAATGTATTAGAGCTAGTTAAAATTTAAAAGTCCAGAATCGTTGTCAGACCAAAATGAAATTTTCTGCATTCATGTCTAGTTTTTAGATGTTGCACTACTTCAGTCGCAATTTTTCATCGAGTTATTCCTAAATAGATAGTCATTTTTTATATGTTTGGCCAGCATCATTTTATGTGAAAAAAATCAGTGGTAAAGCAAATGAAGTGAAATCTTGACACTTGCTGGCCTCCATTTATTCCTTCCAGTGCCTCATGATCCAGGAGAAGTTCCAAGCTTCAGGTAGAAAAAAACAAAATAATAATAAAGATTGTGCAATGATCTACTTGGAAAATTAAATATGTATCACTTGAATGCAGAACTTGAAGAAGGGGTCACAATCATTGATTGTACTGATCGTTGCGTTTTTTTTGTGTATGTGCTTCATCAGAACTCAATAACTAGCCTATTCAGTTTGTGTTGAATCTGTCTGTTCACAATTTTGTATGGCCTTCGGTATTTTCAAATGACGAATTTCGGGGCTGGGAATTTTTTGGACCCGAAAAAGGTTCTGAATTAACTGCCTCACTTCGTGAAAATACTTATTGGAATGTTACTCAACTGTTACCCTATTCAGTTCGTGTTTTTTTATGGCCTTCACTAATGACATGTCGCATTTGGGCGTTTCTTTGATCTTCAGGAAGGTTTTGGACTGCTTCACTTGATGGAAATCTAGACAAGAATAACTTTCACGGAAGCCATGACCAGTTTTTTGCGAGTTATTTTCAGCTTATATGTTTTGAATTTTTCAATGATTATTGCCAAAACATTGAAATGTGCTTCTTTTCAGAAAAAAATACTACAGTAAGGAAAGTGGTTATCTCTACAGTTTGTGCATAAACGAAGTGCGTGTGCTTTGATCCATGCGGTTTACTCGGAAATTCTGTATAAGCAGACTTGAGACCGCTGAAACATGAAAACAAAATTGAATACGCCTGTGGAAGAAAGTGAAATCTGTGACCCGAACCGTCAGTGATTTATCATCTTTGGTGGAAAATTAGAAACGTATAAATAAACTTGTAAGTACCTTTAATGGCTGGTGATTTCAGTATTTGATATTGCGCAAAATTTGACGGATGTTTTTTGGAATTCGAAGGATTTCGCATGCACATCCATCCCATGAATATTTGGTAAACATGAATGTAGCTAATGGTAAATCAAAGAACTTGGGGAAAAAACAAGCGTATTGTTTGGTTTACAGTATTTCATGGAACTCTCCTCTATTCCACTTGAACAGACACTATTTCCCAGGTATTAGGTATAGTGATAACTCCGATGAAAGAATCATTGATGGAAAAAGCAGAAAATGAAATCAGTGCAAACTTTCGTAAAAAAAAATTGTTACTTTAATTTGGAATTTCTGCGTGGTTCTTTTGTGAATAAATGGTTGAAAACATTGCTAAATCAACTCCGAAAGATTTTATTTATGCGCTCTATATAGGAAGCATTGGGAAATACTGTACAGTATTGTAATTCATGTTCGAGGAGATTCTAAAAGCACAGGCACATGAGCACGTCGAATTTGCAGCATGTCCCAATTATTCTACTTCTGAAGTGTAGCCTAAGTATACAGGGTTACAAGGTCACGAATGTGACTGATCGGATCTCTTGGTTTATTTTGTGCCTGTTTATTTGTTGTACAGAAGAGTTTGTTCGGAATGTGATCCTGCATGAAGGAAGTCTATGCTCTTGCTGATGTTCACAACACTCTTACGTAACTTAATAGGACGCCGCCATCGTGATTTGAGGCACTACCGTTCAACGGACATAAGCCTACTGTACAGTATTTGGATCAAGTTTGAATGGCTTTACAGCTGTTAACAATTGTGAAATAACCTGAAATCATGTCATTGTGATCTGTAATGAAAATTGATAACTGGATTGGTGCCTCTTATCTTCAGACCCGATCGGAATTAGTAATACGGAGACAGTAGTTATTGTTGCTATTTTTTCTTCGAAGAAAGTACAGTACGGGATGCTGATGATGAAACAGTGTGAGGATAATTTCTGGTGTGTTCTATTGCTAACAAGATGCTGTTCTCTTAATTTCAGAAATTTTAGCCGCTTTAATAGTGCGATTTAAGATATTCAACATGAAAGATGGCTAGTACACGTGAGAAAAATGTTCCGACGCGCCCAGCCCCTGGCGCTCCTGCATTCGCGAAATTGAGGTACGTACTGCATCACCAGCGATTCACTTTCGATGTAATTTGGTGTCAATGTAGCTCATCGAATGTATCTTGCTTCCAGGAATTTGATCGCACCTGACAGCAACGCACGGAGTCCCAGTTCGCGCAGTAGTTTTTATTCGGATACGAATGCAAAGAAGAATCAAAAGAAACCACCTCCTCGTCCGCCACCACCGAAGTTCAATCATGCGATGGTAATTTGTGAATCTTTTCTGAAAGGTGCCCGCGTGTCAGACCTTCATGCTTTGTTGGGTTTTCGATTTATTGCAGCATCGAAGTGTCTCGTTGGAACGAAATCTTGCTGCGTTCGTTCCGCAAGCTCAGGGATATACCTTTCCACAAATGCCTGCGTTGATTCCCCCTCCAGTCTCAGCGAAGCCGAAACTTAATCAGGATTTATCGACCTTGATCGATTTGTTCTCTTCACCTCCTCCGTCATCGTCGTCTTCATCGCCGACTTTAACTCATCATTCCGGCAGTGATGGCTTTAGTGTTAATAGTTTGGTGAGTGTGCTTTTATTGAAACCTTATCCGGTTCCTCCACGAATTTAGACCCATCAAATTTAACGCATATATTACTTCTGTCCAATATTGTACTGTACTGTACCTCGGTCCTTCGAGGTATTACAACTACTGTTCGCCTTTTTTGTTTTCTTTTCTTTGAATAAAAGATGAATCCCTGTTTTCATTTTTCTCTCTGATGATCGTGATTTTGTGCCCCCAATTGAAGTGATAAATTGATGTTGAATAGACTCACCGTTGATCGTGGTTCCTGAATTGTGCCAAGGATGGCTGTGTTCGTAAATTCGATCTTATGTTTGAGGACATCGTGTGAACTTGAGATTTCTCATTTTTGACAGACTATAGACGAAGATTTCGATCCGTTCTCTCCGCGGAGTTTGGCCTCCAAGCAGAAAGACTCCTTCAACAAACTTCGGGATGATTCGGCGTTGCACATCAAACCGGATTCTGGGCTTCAGCGACAATACGCCTTGCTTCAGGGAAAGGCTGTGACGCCGCCGAAGACCAAGAAGCCGACCGTGATCCGGAACAATCGACCTACGTTAGCTGTGAAACCGCAGTTGCTAACCAGTATCCCGACTTATACATTACCCAGTGATTTGAAGTGTGATCGAGAATCTTCACCTCCGGAACCTATGATTCCACCTCCGAAAGCGCCAGATGTCAATATCTTGAGTTCTTGGGATGACGAGCCTCCTGCTTTGCCCCCAAGAAGACCACATAGTGAAGAGGTTGGTTTTTTTTTTTGCATTTTGAGACATCTTTGTGCTGTTCGTGAGGAACTTCCCACTGGAGTAGTGGCTACATTAAGCCGGTAATATTTTAATGGTGGGAAATGCTTTTCAGATATAAATTAATGAGGTAATGTACCTCCTCATTCAGAGACTCGTCAGTGCTATTGAAATTCGTTTTTCTTCCAAAGTGAAGCTCATGCAAAACTCGCTCGATATGTCTTTGATTTGAAAAGCTCTCTCCGATGTCTGTTTCTGATCTCTTTTCTCAAGCTTGGCGAGAAAAATTAGCTTTTCCTACCAGATTGAGAATTGTAAAAAAAGAAACTTTGATCGTGTCCGGCTGCTAGAAGTTTCCGGTGATACACTTTTCTAGTTAGAAAACGCAAGGTGCATTTCTTTTACTTGTCTACCGCTGAACATGAAATTTCAACGCATTGGTTCTTAAGAATTTGTATTAATTTGGGAAGAATTTTGCTGAATCGGAGCTTCTTTTATAATTAAAAGAGCTTCTTCTGTGATGACCAATAGACGAAGTTTGAAGAAAAATGCTACAGAATGAACCACAGTTACAAAGTCGGTCGCCTGTTGCATATCGCATTGGTTATTGCGTCCCTTTTCTGTAGCAGAATTTCCATTTACCATAATGGTTATTCATAATAGTTATTTCTTTGTGGTGCTTTTTCTCTATATTTTTTTAAGTAATCCTAACCCTTCCGCTTCATTCAGGTCGAAGCGTTTTTCAGAATGGGTTTTTTTTTTTGGTGGAAGGAGGTCAGGATTTTGTAATAACATTGAACCTCGATTGACACGGGAAAGAGTAAAGCGATAAAAATGTAACTTGATGCGTTTTGAAAAGAAGTGTAATACTAATTGGGCAAATTAACCCTTGCCTTCATGTTCAGCATCCTGTCAACTTGTTCAAGAACAATTTAAGGGTCAGAATATCAGCAGTTAAATTTTTTTAAATTCTTCTTGTTTTCCTAAGAGACCAAGATAACTTGGTCTCTTAACTGGGAACCTCCCTTATTCGATTTTTTGTTCGGTCCTTCGAAGAAGTTAAACTGTACTATATTTCATTTTCGAAGAATCGTGTTGAAAATGCTATCGTCTTCTCTTCGGACAGCCCTTCAACACTGAGGAACCACATGCGATTGTGCTTTTCGACTACGAACGGACTCATCCCGACGATCTGGGGTGCATAGCGGGTGAAGTTGTTTACTTGGTGAATAAAGTCAGTGAAGACTGGTTCACATGCCGGAAGAGAAACGGAGCTGAAGGGTTGATACCTGCGAATTTTCTGGACATTCTAGAACCTCTGAAGCCCCGAGGCGAGGCTCTAACTGCCTTGTACAGTTTTCCTGGGGAAATGAATGGCGATCTGGCGTTTCCGGTGAGCAAATCGTATAAATTTTTTTTTCTCGTACGAATTTTGCCCTATTACCGTGTCTACGCGAATATAAGCACCCGCTAGATTTTACATGAACAAAATTAAGAAATTCCACTAATAGGCAAATATACCCACTTGCTTTTATGGTGTTCTGACTTCCGGGAATCTACAATTTCTAGCTACATTTACGTTTCCCTAGAGAAAGAATTGTGTCACACAACCCGTGCCCTTCCCCTTCAGTTAAGTCCTCGTGCATCTTGAAGGGCTGAAAGCTGAATCATTTATTTATTTTTAACTTCAATTCCAGAAGAATTTTGGAGAAGAAGTTCAGGATTGCTATGTGGGCCGCGAACAGGAAAATTTCCTGATATAGACGCTTAATTACGCAAATCTCATACATTTGCAATCACCTCTTGAGTTTTAAGCTTCTAAAATTGAAAAGAGTGGTGCTATTATTCGCGTGGATATGGTAAGATGCTTTTAATGAATTGCTGATGTTTGAGAATGACGATATTGTCTTTGGATACGAAGGTTGATCAGAAAGTTTTGACTGTCTTGTACATTTCTGTCAACGGCTCCTTTTCAAGTGTGAATCATCTGGTTTAAGGAATGTTCGATCGTTTCCTGATCTCTTTCCGTTTTTTTTCCCTGGTAAATAAAACGTGTGCACCCGATATAGCTATTGTTTGCTGGTCACACTTGCGTTAAATATTGGGATAATAGCAGCTGACTTTCACTTGGTTTAAATGGATTTCAAGCATGGTTTCAGCTGAAGGATTTGTGTGAGGAAAAATTTGAATTTCTGAAGGGATTTTGCAACGGCACTGGATGCTGGATTTCAATTTCGTGTAGTGAACTGGAGTTGTTGATTAAGTACTGTATATGTTTTTCAAATACTGTACTGTACTGTAACTCAATTTTTCCTGAATCGAAGGACCCGGGGACTTTCTAGTCCAGGACGAACTTTCTTATCAACCGGAGTGAAGAACTTGAAAGTCGTTAAAATTGAATTACTGCGCGCTCTTTTGAAATTAAGTGACAATTATTTTGGTGTGATCTTTATTGGTTGTATCACTTGTTTGCAGGAGGGTGCAATTGTGTTTGCCGAAGCAAGAATCAACGATGAATGGTTATTCGGCTCCTACGACGGGAAATCCGGTCAATTTCCCGTAAACTTTGTTACCGTCGTGACGAACAATCTTCCTCAACACGTGCCTTGAAAAAACAAAAAAAGAAAGACACGGCTGTTTCGTGGCATCTTTTCCTGTGCTTTTGGTGAAGCGGATGTAATTTTTCCCTGTCTCGGGTTTTTTTTTTCAAGTTGTATTGTTATGTGTACCGTGTAACTCACGTCACGTCCTCCCATTGAATCGCATTCCTTCGGGAAACAATCATCAGATTTTTACAGGAATAATTTTGTGATCATAGTACGGCCTTTCACGTGTGTGCATATTTTTCAGTGTGGGTTTGTGATACCAGATGCCTCTGAATTTTAGCATCGTCACTACCAGGGATTCGCTTGATCATGCCACGCTGTGCAACGCTGCAACTTGATGTGTCTTCCGCGACTTCCGTTATATTTTGCGGCGAGGGAAGCAATTGAGAAGAGTAGCAACATATTTTTATTCTGGTCACTAAAGCGATTCTTTTTATTATTTTACGGTACTTCTTTGTTGGAGCTGCCTTCGACAGCCGTATTGATTGAGCCTGATCATAGAACTAATCGACTTCCAAGTAATGAAACTTGGCGCCTGACTTATTCAATCTTTCTCATTTTCCCCCCAACATATGGCTTATTAATGAAATGAAAATCCTCGTACATTTTCCTAGAAGTAAACTAGATACAATATTACGGATTACTGTATTTATTCAAGTACTCTCAGCATCTTTTTGTGGAAACTTGAGGCAGAAAGTAAGGGTTGCGGGTATACATTTTTGCAGAAAAAATTTGAAACCAGTGGTGAAAAGGATGGACACAGAATTTTCTGCTTGCCACGAATCCTGGTTTCAATGTTTTTCGTGTTTATTTAATCTGGAGTTCGTTTTGTTAAAAGTTGTTTTTAGTGACCAATTCCGATTTCCAATCAAGAACAACTAGGCAGGGATAAGATTTTGTATAAATTCCATGCACAAAAAAAAATCGAGGTGTGTGTATCCTTCTGGGGGTGCAAGATACTTGAGTAAATATAGTTTTAGAACAACCTCTTAGCAAACAGTAAAATTTGCGAACAAGGAATTTGTGAGCAAAAATGGGATTGGTTGAATACTTGTGCGAGTGATGCTTTCTAAAAAGTCAAGGGGTTTGGGTCTGGAAAAAGATCTTGCACTTACAAGTTTTTGTACTTTTACAGTAAAAAAAAAATGTTCCACTAATTTCATATTTTACGCCTTAAAGCATACCCTCAAACTAGAATTTCGCGCATTTCCGGGGGGGGGGGGGGGGGAGGTTAATTGATGTGTAGAAAACTCTGGACCTATCTTTAAATATCCCGACCAGTTTCATCATAACTCAAGTTTTACCCAACTAACCAAACTTTTCCTAACCTAACCCTCACACTTGAAACGTAGATTGAAGCTCAATCATCAGCAACAACAAAAAAGCAATATGAGGGCAGCTTGAACAAGAAATTCACTTCTGCATGTTTTGTGAAAATTGTAGTTACTAGCTGTTTGTTTTTGGCTCAACAGAGTAGTGGTTTTGCCATGGAGAAAATAGCTGTTGGACTTTTTTTGAAGGAATTCGATGCGTCGCCTACAATTGCGGTTGCTGCACCCGGTAGAGTTAATTTGATTGGAGAGCACACTGATTACAATGGAGGATTTGTTCTTCCTATGGTGAGCCGGGATTTTTTGTTGCTGCAAAATTGACACAATTACGTTTGACGAATGATGACGGAAATACGAGAGTTGAAGGAACAGCGTAGCAATAATTTTTTTCATTCAAGTGACGAAGTACCAGTTGTTCAAGTTTTATATACAGTATTTGCGCACTGAAATTTTTTTTTGTGTGTACCGGCGTTTTTTGTAAAATGCAGTAGAATCTTGTCGCAACAAAACATTTGGAATCTTCGAAATGCTTCGACATATTCAAAAGTTCGTTGAACGGAACATTGTAGCTATGCGAGAGGGACCAAAATAGTCAAATTCTCACATGGCAGTACAGTATTAGTATCTAAATGATACGTTTGAGATTTATGCTTATTTTTACACATTTTCTTTTGGAATAAATTTGTAATTTACTTACATTTTCCTGGGCAATTTTGTGAACTAGAGAATCTGAAAAAAAATCATATTCTGTGTTGTAGGCATTACCACTGAAAACTGTTATAGTTGGTCGTGTTGTTGAAGGAACAACATTCACAGTTGTTTCTAAATCCGTGGATTCAGAAGAAGCACGAGTTGTTTTCGGTACCGACAAGGATCACATCGAACGCGGATTACCCAAGTGGGCCAACTATGTGAAGGGTGTTTGCAAGTTCTTCCCTGGTGAGAAATAGTGAAATTATATCTTTGCCTCAAGAACTATCGGGAAAAATTAAATCTTTTCAACTGAAGTTATATCTTGGGTCACTTGACGTGGGGTCGATGAGAATTCTTGAAACTCATCGATAGTGTGTTTTATTCGTTCATTGGTTTTATGCTTTTTTTTGCCAAATTTTGTGATGAAGGTGCTGAATTTGGAAAATGAGCCCTTCGCTCCGAGTTCAGCATCCTGTCAGCTCATTTAAGAAGCAATTAAAGGGCCAGAATAACAGCATGATTATCATATCCCAGAATAACTTTTTTTTTCTGTCCCCTTGAAGTTTGTCTGAAAGAGGTTCGACTGTTCCAACAATTGCGGTCTTATGTCGAAAACTGGTTTATATGACCTGGAAAACTCGTGTCGTTAATTCAATGATGCTCAGATTATTATTTTTTTTCGATTTTGATCATGGAAATTTTGTTGAAAGCTATGAAATTCTCGGTACTTTCCTGTTATCTCAGTACCTCATCCCTAGACCGCACTACCATCCAGACAGACGAGTTCATAATCACGACGACTTACCGGAAACTGAATTTTATTTTTCCGCATTCTGCTGAAACTGATTTTGGGAGGCGGTTAGGTCAGGTTATGTTAGTTAAAAATATATTTTAATTAACATAATCTGACCTAACCGCCTCCCAAAATCTCAAAGAAAGCAGAAACTGATTTTGGGAGGCGGTTAGGTGAAGTTAGGTTAGGTCAGGTTAAATTGGTCAGAGGGAAGGTACAGATATAACAGGAAAGTAGGTACTGAGATAAAAGGAAAGTATCAAATTTTCATTTACAGGAAACCTGAAAGCGGTGGAGGTCTTGATTTACTCGGACGTTCCACTGGGAGCAGGTCTTTCAAGCAGTGCTGCCTTGGAAGTCGCGACATGCACGTTTTTGGAGGCCTCCACGGGACACAAAATGTCTCCGATTGACAAAGCCTTGTTGTGTCAAAAGGCGGAACACGAATTCGCTTCCGTCCCGTGCGGAATAATGGACCAATTCATATCGTCGCTGGGTGTCGAAAGGAACGCGTTACTCATTGACTGTCAATCCCTGAGCACGAAACTCGTTCCTTTGGGGAACGAGGCCAGTGTTTTCATCTGTGATTCGAACGTGAAGCATGACTTGGGTGGAAGCGAGTATCCGAAGAGAAGTGCGCAGTGTAAAAGAGCTTCCGCGATTCTCGGCAAAGAATGTCTGAGGGATTGTTCGTTGGACGAGTTGGAAGGTTCGTTCGGTTTCTGTGAGCCTTTGTGCCGTACGGTGTTTCGCCTTAGTTTATGACGTGGTTTGAGGTCGTTTTCTTCTACAAGAATGACCTTAACGTCGAGAGAACGACCAGAAGTAATTGTGAAGCTCGGAATTGTTCGGGAAATTTTTGATCTGTGATGAATTCCTCTGGCGGAGAGTTTCTCACTATTGATGTTTTTCTTACGGTATTTATTTAGAATTTGCGGTATAGTTTGAAAATTCTTGACTTCGTGCTCTTTACCTCAAACTCCAAATGAATTGCCGTCGTACTTTTTAAGTCGATCTTCAAGGGACCAGCAGACAAAATCGAGTTGTATGCTTATTTTGATACTTTTTTTAGTCGAGGGAGGTTTCGAATTAGGGAAACAAGCATTTGTGTTACAGGAAAGGAAGAGTTACCACAGGAAATTGTAATTGGTGATATTCTGGGCCTTGAATTGCTTCTTGAATGAGTTGATGTGTTGCTGAACTTGAATGTATGGGTTCATTTAATCAATTAGTCTTTCACTTCCTTTTAAAACACATCAAGGTACATTTTTATGACTTTTCTCTTTCCTCTGCCAATGAAATAATGTCCAAAAGACCTCTCTAGAAAGCTCGAGGTATGGAGGTTTGACGGCGAAAATCTTTTTGTTTTGGAGATTTGTTATTGTTTCTAATGGAATTATACAGGTATTCGAACGAAAAATTGACATTGGGAGGTATTTGACTTATAGGGATTTGACTTATAGATAGAGTTTCAAGTGTGATTCATGCCTTTTCTGCGCACGTCCAATTTATTCTTGCTGAATTTCATTTTGGCACTTGCTTTTGCGTCTATTGGGAGCTTTTATGAAACATTTGATTCCCCGTGGGAACTTCTACAGCTCAGAAAATGTTAAGTGGATGCTCAATAAAAAAAAACAGGTCCATTTTGGTCTGTTCGTGTATATGATGATGCGTCTCCCATAAGATGTATCGCTGTCAGTTGGACGAAAGATCTGCGCTGAAATTTGTTGGCTAGAGACTGATGTATTCATGGGATTGTTGAAGACAAGATTCGGACTGACTTTCATTCTAAAATGCCCAAAATTGAAAATGCAATGATTTAATCGAAATTTCTTTGACTCCGGGTCAAACAACGGAAAATCTCTGATTGAAACCTTTTATCTATCTCTGTGAAATTTCTAGTCAGTCGAGAACTCTTGGATGAAGAAACATTCCGCCGGGTTCGACACGTGGTGTCTGAGATCCAAAGAACCCAGGATGCCGTGAAGGCCTTGGAATCCCAGGACTTCGCCACTTTCGGTCGCCTGATGACTGAAAGTCACGCATCTTTGCGGTGAGTTTTTCCTCGCCTGAAAACAGAATTCGCGATAGTGGTTTGATTCCTTATAAATGTTTTCAGTGATGATTACGAAGTATCCTGCAAGGAGTTGGACGAATTGGTGGACCTTGCCCTGGAGGTAGACGGTGTTTACGGGTCGAGAATGACCGGAGGTGGATTCGGGGGATGCACTGTGACATTGGTACGATAGGTTTCCTTCTGCGGGCGGCTGAGTGCGTCATCTACCGGAGAAAACTCGCATATTTCGAATTTGTATGATTTTTTTACTTGGCAGCATGAATAGTATTGACCTTGAAAATGCCTGAAATCCTTCGAAGTTTGTCTTCGAACCATTTTCAAATCAAAACGAATAATGTAAAATTTCATCAGCAACGATGCTATGCTTTACTTCAGATTTTTTCTTGAATGCCGTATTTTTTTGAAAAGAACATACCGTATTTTAATTTTGTGTGTCCTTCACATTACCCATGGATGCATTATTGTTCGTTGCACATTTTGTGGTGTATGACGCACTGAATTGGCACCATTATCCTTGTTTTCCACGTAGAAATGTTGAAAGGTTCATCAATTCTGTTCTGCAGGTGAAAAAGGAGGCTGTGGACGCATTAAAGAAGCACTTGAACGAAAAATACAGTGGGAACGCGAGCTTTTATGTTTGTGAAGCCAGTCGAGGAGCAACGGAAATCGACATTCCGGTTCATCAGTGAAGAAAAAAAAAAAAGAAACGTTAATAATTCAGCTTGGACATGTTGAGGATTTTTGCATTCCTGGCAGGTTTCTGGATATTTTATTTTTTGACTTCAGTAACTGTGTTAACGGAGCTTGGGATGCTTCGGAAATTTTACTTCCTGATTCACTGAAGAAGTCGGTGAAAGCGCGGAAGATTTTGGGACTTATTTCGGGAAAATATAGCATATAGTTTTGAAAATGCTCGCATGAACGATACAGTGTCATTTTGTGCAAATATTAGACGCCGTCCAACTTGGAACTCGGAGTAATTTTCTAGCCTTTTTGAACTGAAGAATTTGTTCGCGTTCGACTGACGTCTGTTATTTGCTTCGCAAAGTATTTCAGAAATTATTTTTTCTGATGAACTATACGAAAGTCCAGAAATGTCCACATATTTTGATTGACGTCAGTGTATCCCTCAAATATGTCTCATCTAAAAACCGCATACATTGTTCAAGTCAAGTTTCCTTTCAAATCAATTTAATCCACTAAATGCTTTATTAGAAGAATAAATTGCTTGAGGAATTTTTGTGTTCAGCAAACGGATCACTTTTTCTGGGGGGAAATAGAAAAGAATTGCGTGAAGTTAAAAATGGTCGTCTGGGTTTTTAATTGCTTCCCAAGTGAGTTGTCAAATACTTGAATGAAGAGACAAGTGTTCATTTATCAAATTAACCGTGGACTTCCGTATGAAAAGTATTGAGTTTCATTTTTGTTGCTTTTCTCTCTTGTGGGTCCTTAGAATAATGGCAGACATCTCAAAATTTAATTGGTAAGGGTCGGAAAAGGGAGAGGGACTTGACAAAAATTTGAAGTGGTTTTCGATTGAAGAAGGTTTGGGTTGTTGAGGTCCAAATGTTCTTGTTCTTCTGTTAATTCCAAATGCAATATAAAGTTGCATGATATGAAAGGTCACTTATTCGAAAACTCTATCGTGAATTTTTTTGAGAGTCTGAATTGGAAAGGCTGCGAGGATACGTTATCTTTGGAAATGGATGGATCGTCAAATGATCATACTGATGGTGGTTTTTTTTTCTAGCAGATCTTAGTTTTCTTGAGTTTTCGTTTAGAATGAATAGTGGTGCAAGTCCAGTGCCTTCTGATGAAGACGATGTGCGGGGTCAAATGCTGTCAAGTGCGGATGAAGGGAACCTGGGTTCGACCGGGAAATTTAATACCTTGGATGAACCCGTCAAAGCTACTCTGGTGAACACATGCTCTGATTTATATTTGGAAATTTGGATTTTTTTTTTTAATTTTAAATGCGGTTTTTATTTATTGTTGGCAGATGAGAGATGTTCATGCTGTTGGACAAAGATTCAAGCATGTTTTTCGGGTGGATGACAAGAAATTCCTGGTCAAAGATTGTGAGTTTTTTGTGTGTGTTCAAATGTGACCACTTATAACGATTTTCTCTGTTTAGCAATTTTTTTTTCTGGTTTCAAAGGGGTCCTCTCCCCATGTTTTACGGGGTTCCCTTCAACAAAATTCTCTCTAAAACGAGTTTTTTTTTTTCTTGTCCCTTGAATTTTGCTGTGATGAGAGTTGACCTGTATTATCAATTTTTTAAAGGGCATTATTTGCTCAAGAACAAAGGAATACTTTCATTACAACAAAATTCTTAGTTTTCTGGAAAAGGTTTTCTATGATTGAGGTCAAAAATAATTTAATGAAAACCTTACCCATTTTTGTGGTTTGACCCCCAAGTTTTTGAGTTTGAGAGATTTGAAATTGATTGGCTCGGGATTGACTGAATGCGGATGAAATTTAATGATATTTGCTTGATTCCTTATTGCCAGGGGATCTTTGGGGACCTCTCATTTTGTGCACCATCATGGCAATTTTGCTGGAGGGCCAAGATGTTGTAGTTCAAGAAAGAAAATATGATGGTGGACCCGAGTTTGCAGAAGTGTTCCTACTTGTCTGGGGTGGAGCCCTGGTGGTCACTGTGAACTCACACTTCCTGGGAGGCAAATTGTGAGTCTCGATGTGTATGAATTTCTCCTAATATTATCAGCAGTAAGATTCCTGAATACAAATAAGACTCTCTCTGTCTCTCCAACGACATTCAGGCGACGAGAAAAAAAACGGTGTACAGAGAATGTGTACAGAACCCCAATGTGACCAAAATTATACCGAGATATTTGTTGTAGAAAGAGTCAACCTGTTTTGCATCGGGATCAAATTTCCTTTTGAATATCAATACCCTGCTCCATATACCAGTATTAAATTTCTTTGAAAGCCCTTTTTTGTATTGTATGTTATTCTGAAATTTTAGAAAGAGGGGCAGTTCTTGGAATTTCTGGAAATAGGCCTTTGAGTATGGATAATCCGAAGTAAATCCTCATATTGCATAAGTGCTGCTTTGCATTGTAATAATAGCTGTGAGGTTCTTAGAGTATTTTACTGATGTATTTGGGCACTTTATTTGTTGAGTATTTATAATTCATAGAACTGTACAGTCTTGAAAATTGTTTTGGAGGCAAAGCCTGTGCCTTTTGTCGCATTCAGAATTTTAAGATCATGATTCATGAAATTCATATTGGCATACTTGATATACAGCCAGAATAACTTACATCAGTAACATCTCATATATGTATCTTGGATGGACAATATAAATTTTTCTCGAATTGAAAAAGCAGTATGATCAGGAAATGTGCGTTGGGATTTAATTTTTTGAACATAGAAGTCAAATGTTATGCAGTTGAGTTAAACCGCACAGTTTTCTCGCGTTTCCTGGGGTGGGAAAATTTGGGTGTCTTGATCGAATTTTTTTTATAAGGTAGCATTAATATGAAGAGTGTAGTGACACATTCTTGGAAATTGATCGTGAATAATCAAAAAATTTCTTTTTCAGATCTTATTTTCAGAGCGTGTGTATCATCGGCTATTGCCTACTTCCACTTTCAATTTCATTGCTCCTCTGTCGGATCGTGCTTTTTTTCAAGCAGTCAACTTTCACATTCTTTTTGAGACTGCTTTCAACAATGACTGGATTGACGTATGCTGTTTACGGTAGGATTGAGATGATTTGACTTGGTTTTTTTATTTAATTCTATGATCGGCTTTTTCAGCTTCCTACGAGTTCATGGGCTCCAGCTTGGCTAAGGGCAAGAAAGCATTGGCTTTGTATCCGGTCTTCCTGTTTTACTTCATCATTTCCTGGATGGTGATCTCTACAAATTGATTGAAAGACCTGCTGAGAAAAGTTTGAAATTTGTTGGGAAGGCCTTGTGATCCGATTTTGGTTGTGCACCTATTTTTGGAAAAACACCCGATTGAATTTTATTGAAATATCTGTGAGTGATGATCTGTTGATGGAAGTCTATGTTATAGACGATTTTTCATGCACATGTGCTGCAATTGTGGTTGTGATTTGGAACAAAAATGCTGTGGTGCTTGTGGTACAATTGTTTCAGGGATGACGGGGGTTCTGTGTGGCACGAATAAATCACGGTGATTATTCCCTCATATCATGGCATTCTTTTACTATAGGAATTCAATTTGAAAGGCATGGACACAAATTATGTTTTGTTTATACAGCACTACCGCATATATATGCAGTACTGCTGTATATACTGATTAATAATATCCATGGTAACATTTTAAGCACCTTATAATTGTGATTCGATGCGTTTTAATATGGATTCAATGAAAATTAGAGTGAACATGATTATTTCAAGTTATATACAAGTGATGCTGGCCATCTGCATCATAATTTTAAAGGATAGAAGGCAATGAATGTATATTTTAGTAGAAATTGAATCAAATATGGTGACTATAATTCAGTAGAAATAATATCTATTATTTATAATCATCAATCAGAGGAAAATCTGTGATATAAGCGACTCTTACTGTATGCATGCCTGTTTTTCTACTTTTAGACAGAATGATTGCTCAAAAACATGAATAAAACAATGTCTATATACAATATAACATCAGCGTTCATGAAGTACCCCTGCAGCTATAGTTCTATGCATATGACACGCTTACTGAATGCAAGGACTAACCTTGCCAGCTATACTGCTGTTTTCCAATGACCAAAAATATGTTAATAAATGGCAGACAAAAAAGTAGAAATGTTCTTCTGAAAAAAGGTCTTTCAAATTTTGAGAGAAGAATTACATTCTTATCTCGAACAATTTCAGAAGAAGATACTGAAAAAATTCCTGAAAAAGAAATTTCCCCATGGATTGATTAAATGCCTGGCTATAATAATATGATTAGAAGAAACTTCGCGACCCTTGGGCTGTTCGAAAATATGGCTGGCTGGCAGGCAAACGTGGCCTATAACATGAAGTGACCTCTATTACTACTGCTATGAAATGTGAAGAAAAGGAAATTGCTGATGTGGCTTCAAGCGTCTTCGATTGCAATTGTATCAAACGTGGACGTAAGGCTGACTTTCGAAGGTTTCGGCAACCATCTGCAGTCGAGTGCGGTCCAGCGACGGAGAAGCGTACAGGAGGTGCAGTCGTATTTCATTCGTGTGTTAATCCTGTTCCATCTTGGTTGATTCGCAGATTTCGCGCGTTAGATTATCGCGTTTGTGAACGATGGTGAGTCTATTCACAAGTTTTAAACTGATGAAGATTATTAATGCTGTTGTATGCTTGCAGTCGCATCGTAAGTTCGAAGCCCCCCGTCATGGGTCCATGGGCTTCTACCCGAAGAAGCGATCACAACGCCACCGTGGCAAAGTGAAGGCCTTTCCTAAAGATGACCCGTCGCAGCCCGTTCATCTGACCGCTTTCATTGCTTACAAAGCCGGTATGACCCACATCCTGAGAGAAGCAGATCGACCGGGATCAAGTAAGTTCAATTCTATTACGGATCTTCCGATTTCATATTATGATGATTCTTCAAATATTGTCGGGCTTGGTTGTGACGATAACTAGGGCGGACTGATAATACTCTTGGTAATCGTGATTAGGTCTAAGTTTTCCGCAGTGAATGATACGAATGCTTCTATTGATAGAAATACACAAGAAGGAAGTCGTGGAAGCTGTTACCATCCTGGAAGCACCTCCCATGGTCGTCGTCGGTATCACCGGATATATCGAGACACCTCGTGGCATCCGTGCATTGAAGACAGTCTGGGCTGAACACATCGGCGAAGACTGCCGTCGACGCTATTATAAGAACTGGTAATTATTTCAATTCATGCGAAAACGTTTCCCCCTCCTTGAATGTCTTCAGGCTTTCCTCTGAGCATCGCGCTCACGAAAGCAATCCTTCGGGATATACTTCGTACAGTCTCTGCTGAGGTATTGCGTTCCACGCGATTCTCATGAGACGAGTCGAATACTTTGAACGTGCAGGTATCGTTCCAAGAAGAAGGCGTTCACCAAGACTTGCAAGAAGTGGGCCGATAAGGACGGAAAGGAACAGATCGATCGTGATTTGCGTATCATGAAAAAGTACTGCTCCTCCATCCGTGTCATCGCTCATACTCAGGTTTGTCATTTCCTTCAATTTTGTAATCCGAAGTCCAATGCTGCTGTACCTCATATTCTACGCATTCAACTAAGCTTTCCACAAAATGGCGGTACTCCGCTTAGAATATGAGGTACAGAAGCAGGTACTGCACGAACATGATGAAAACATCAATGCCGGTTCATCCGAAAACATACTGTAGAATGCATTGATGCTGCCTTCCTTCTGAAACGCTTGCTTGGAAATCCAAGTCCTGGGCATATAGTGGAGTAGATCTCAGACTTTCCATCCTCATTTCAGATGAAGTTGCTGAAGAAGCGTCAAAAGAAGTCGCACATCATGGAGATCCAGTTGAACGGTGGAACCATCTCTCAGAAAGTGGAATGGGCTCGTTCTCACTTGGAAAAGCAAATCCCTGTGAGCTCCGTATTCTCTCAGGACGAGATGATCGATTGCATTGGTGTCACCAAGGGTAAAGGTTACAAGGGTGTGACTTCGCGTTGGCACACGAAGAAGCTGCCCAGGAAGACGCATAAGGGTCTCCGAAAGGTTGCTTGTATTGGTGCTTGGCATCCTTCCCGTGTCCAGTTCACTGTTGCTCGAGCTGGTCAGAAGGGTTACCATCACCGTACTGAGATCAACAAGAAGATCTACCGTATCGGGTTGGGAGTCCACAAGAAGGAGGGAAAGGTAACATAAATGAAAATTGAATTTGTATTAATGATTATTATTATCGTATTACGTAAGAGATATAGCTTCTGCAGCTGAGTGTACCGATTTGTAATGTAGCTGTAAAACTGATCATGACTCGTCTTACTGAAATGAGTATTCATGCTCGTGTCTGAATTTCTCCTTGTCCTGACTTTCTTGGATTGATGACGCGATTTGGGGACAAGTGTGCGTAAGACGTAGTTATGTAATCGTGTTATTCCTATTCATTGTACAGCTCGTCAAGAACAATGCCTCAACCGAGTACGACCTGACACAGAAGTCGATCACCCCGATGGGTGGGTTCCCTCACTACGGTGAAGTCAACTGCGATTTCCTGATGATCAAGGGTTGCTGTATGGGTCCGAAGAAGCGGGTCATCACCTTGCGCAAGGTACGTTACGTGTCCTTTCGTCATTCTCTGACACGTTTATCGTGATGAACAAAAAATTGAGCCGAAAACAATCCAACTATGAAATTTCATGATATTTACATGATAGGACTGATGACTTCATTCCGGAATAACCCCTGTGTGCATAAATCGTTGGATGTACTAACGTGGATATTTTATTTTCAGTCCCTGAAGACTCACGTGAAGCGAGTGGCGTTGGAGAAGATCAACCTCAAGTTCATCGACACGTCATCCAAGTTCGGCCATGGTCGGTTCCAGACGCCGCAAGACAAGCTTACCTTCATGGGTCCGTTGAAGAAAGATCGTCTGAAGGCGGAAGCTGCTGCTGGAGCAACTGCTGGCACAGCTTAAATTCCCTCGAAATTGTGCATCGGGGTGCGAATAAAGCCACGTGCTGTTGAGATCTGGAGTTTGGGTCATTTCATATCCATGTTGCTAGAGCCTGATCTTGGCATTTTCTTGCTTGCAGGCGTGTTCGTGGCTTTTCTACCTAGCAGATTGTGTATATTAAACATGCCCTTGTCAGATGACAGTCTTGTAGGATGCATGCCTACTGTAATGGAGAAACTTCTGCCGGATTTCGGAAAAGGCCAACTGGTAAATCGGTTGATTGCCATTGGGGCTAGTAAAGCGCTTGCCCGAGGAGATTCTTCGTTGGTCCGTAAGCTCCATTACTTGGAGTGAGTTTTTTTTTTGTAGCACAATACAGTATCGCAGTACTTCGTCAGTAAGAACCTTAGTTATATCTTCTGGGTTTCTGTCGCCAGGTTTGTCCGAACACTCATGAAATGCAATTTAAGAAGTCTCCATGTGAGTCTGATACTTTCCCGCATCTAACGGTACTTCGATGAAGTCATTCAATGAATAATCTTGCTCCTATGGCTAGAGTTCGTGTCGTACTGCATTATACAATTGTTGTCGCGGCTGATTCTTGTAGCGTTCTCTTCTGCACGTAAGCTTGTGAGGAGCATAGCTCCCGGAGGAGTCCATTATCCGCTGCACTTGGGGTGAACAATGGAAGATGATGCGTATTTGAAAATGGGAATGTGCGGAATGTTTTCAGATCATTTCTTGAACGGATGATGCCGCAGGTGTTACACTTTCATACTACAGTAAAAGTATACAGTATGCTTCTCATTTTTTGATTTTGGATTGAATCCAATCGTTGTTTCTGGAGGTGTTAATTTTGACGTGGGCAAATCTCTATGAAATTCTGGCATTTTTATTCAAGTAATGAGGAAGCCATGTAACTTGAAGCTCTACAACTTAACTTAGATTAGGTACAGTATAATCGGAAGTTCCTATTTCGAATGTCCGAAAAAGCCATCGGGACTTGTGTATTATCGAAACGATTTGTCGTAATTCCTTTTGCTGGAATTTTGTTCAGTGGCTATTTTGGAGACGCCGAGAGCTTGATATCATCGATTGATATAAATGCCAACGAGATTCAAATCGTTGTGATGACTGCATTGGGTTACGAGATCCTGCTCCTGAGGGCCATCGAAAGAAGCATTAATGGGTTGAACGCCTTGCGGAAACGCATCGCCATTGCGTAAGTACCTTCTTCGATCTATCCTCCAACATCGAAGGGATAATCCAGTGAGGATGGAATAATCATTGCCGTGTATTCTTCGCAACAGGCCTATGATCTCTCTGATGCCTACGTCGTCATCTCGTAAACGCACCTTGAAGAACGTTGAACTGAACAGCTATGTCTTGCCTGACGAAGTGTTGGATCCGTGCGTTACTATGCAAGACGACGTTCGCCGTGAGTTAGAACAGGAATAAGGCTTAAAAATTGTTCGGAACCTCGATTAATGAACCCCCTGTTCTCCGAAATTGCGAACTTGGAGTGATGTATAATTATGTGAAGACGTATGTCATTCTCTGAATCGGCTCCCGACTAACCAAAAATTGTGTTGATCGGGTCTATTGAAGCTGCATACAGCTTTAATTGACTCTATGAATCGGGCAGCACTACTTTAAAGAGCAGTGCTGCCCAACCCAAACGTGGCCAAGGGCCGTATTAGCACGTTGTTTTTGCGGCGAAGGGCCACATCGCAGAGGTGGAAAGTCCTTGCAGGCCACAATAAGCATTAATTTTGAGGTATGAAATAAATTGATGATGGACGATGGAAAGAAAAGTCCGAACATTCAGAAATGTTGAGAATGTTGTTCAGCACAATCGAGAATTCTACAAAAGCGTTCTTGGACTGAAACACATCGCCAACAGAATCATTCAATATTTTTGAAAGAAATCTTCATTGCCAACAGAATCATTGAATATTTTTGAAAGAAATCCTCATACGATCTCATTATCCGAGGCAAAATATTAGGTCTTTCGAGTTCTTTATCGAGGTACAGCATCTGTATTATTCTTGGGACTGAATTTTTTTTTTTAATTTGACAATTGTTGTAGATACTCGCTGGGACCAGCAGGCGGATGATTTCGGGTCAACCGACTGCACCATGGACGAGATCCTGCGCCTCTTCGATGATCAAACCGGAGTCATGAGCATCCCAGAAGTTGCTGGGTTGAAGAGTTCCTCGGAATCCGGTCCTCAAATCACTGGTGGCCCAACACCATTGGTGCCTGTGGACGATGCGATGGACTTCGATGCTGGTCTACTGGATCAAAACGACGTTCCGCCTCCGGAGGCGCCTCCGATACCTGCTGTTGCTGCTGCAGTTGTCCCGGAGCCGGTGGCGTCCCCGGGGACGCCTGCTGCGAATGTTGATCGCAGTGCTGGGAGGAATACGAGGATTGTGCGGACTTCGGGCGATGATCGCATCAGGCATGGACGATTGCTGGACACCCTCGACCGAGTGAGAGCTAATTATTATCTTTTATTTTTCTGGGCAAATATTCGAGCTTACAATTTGTATTTCAAGTTCTGCGAATAGTAATAACGGTTGGAGCAGACATGATACGCTAGTTTGAAAATTATAGACTGATGGCGTTTAACGGTTCTGATTTATTTTTTTCACAGCGTCTGGAACAAGGATTTGAGGAGGTTGAACGGGATCGTTCACCGTTTCGACATGATTGGAACGTTCCGAGTTTCTTGAACATTCCGAGACACTCCGATTTCGAGGTTTGTTCACGTTTTGGGTTTGCTGGTATTGTTTACACCTTTAGGCTAAGATTCAAAATCCCTAAAACATATTCTGAACGGTGTTCGAGAAGATCCTTGAAAAGCTTTGAATAATTCGACTAAGCTTCCAAAATTTAAACCAAATATGCTTGATTCAACTTCTGTTACCTCCGTGGTAGAAAGTAAATCCACTTCGTTTTTTTTTAATGCCCTCTGCATTGGTACTGATGAACTTCTCATGCTTCAGAGAGTATCATTTAGAATTTGCTTAATGTTGGAATTAATTTAGAAATGTCACATATCTGCAAGCTTCTTGATCGGAATCTTACGAAAGCACTGTGGGAGCAATTCCAAGATACGATCCTGTTTAAGGCAACTTGTCCAAGAGGGAGCATTTTGAGAGACCCAGTATCATGGGACGAAATTTCTAGAAAAACAAATTCCGGGTTAGATCTTGTGTATCATTTAAGAAGTAATTTTTCTTGCCATTTCTGGATGCCTGTATTCTGCACTGAAGCGAGTTTTTCCATGCACTCCCCCTTTTTTTAGACCTACAGGATGGGGGATTCTTGTTGGAAATGTTGCAGGATCTGACGACGCTGTTCTATGATCTTCCGTGTTATTTTTCAGGAACATTATGCTTTGGGAAGACTTCTGAGGGAAGTCAATGTACCCGAAAACCAGACGAGAAGCACAAGTGGAACCCATTCAGTGCCGAGGCGCACTGTGTGAGTTATTTTGTTGTTGCAGAATTCTTACGCAAATGTCATTTATAGAGACCATCACATTTATTTTTAGGGTTATTTTATTAATAGCAGCCAGCAGTAAGTAAATTATACTTCTGAAGAATCGGTGTATTGTATTTGAAATCATGGAAGATATCTCCTTTCGCTTTTATTTGATATCGAATCTAGTGTCACATGCGTTCTACCACTAATATCAAATGAATTCCTCAGCCGTCATTATTTATGAAATTAGATTTTATTTTTGCGTCTGGATTTTTTTGGAGATAATTTGCGAAGACGTATTTTTTCATGTAAGATGCCTCTTCGTTTAGTAAAGTCTATATATACAGGCAGGTATATTTTTTAATTTACTGGAGGAGAAACTGTTGCATAGCATGAGATGAATAAAATACGCTAAAATTGTAAATCCAATAACTTGGTGCTTGGATGTGACATGCTTTTGCATTTATGGTAATACCTTGCATGAAGGTCACTTGTCAATGATATTTCTTCCCTTGAGCTGATCTTTAATGACCTGTTCATAATTTTCCTCCCTGGGTTGTTACAGAGCAAGGAAAAGGCGTGTGATCTCATCTGTGGGTCAGGGAGACGCGACTCCGCTGGCTGAGGACGCCCAAGACTTTGTGTAAGTCCAACTATGCAATTCAAGCGTAGAAAATTCACGAATCATTCCATCAACTGGTTCCCCTTTTTAAACCTTTTATCTACATTTTTTAGCGAAGATGCCCACATTCCGGAACCTTTCGAGATGCTGGAGAAATCACCAGAGCCTGAACACAACATTCGCGAAACCCACGATCTCTCGCAACCGGACCATGACCGCGTGTTGCTGGCTTTACTTCGCGTAGTTCTTCAGAAACTGGATCAAAATCTCCGAGATGTGTTTCCCCCTACGAGCTTTTGTAAGCTGGACATCATTCACGCGATTGGTCTCGTCGCTGGTTAGTTCTCCCTTTGTCCTGTAACCTCCGTAATTAACTATTCAAGCCGTATCTGAATGTTTTTGGACTATTCGTTCATGGGAAAAACCGGTCCGCAGAAAAAATTGAATTTAGAACAGAAATTACCTGTACAATGTATGAATTAAAAAAATGCAACATTTGATCTGAGAGAGATGATGTCTTTTGGGAAGAACAGGCGACAGCTTTTCTGAACTAATTTTGATTTTGAGTTCATATAGAGTTCATAAAGAGTTCATATAGTCGACCGAGTACAGTTGATGAAGTTTTTGCTAAGGTGCCTAATTAGATGACCCATCTTCAGTATAGGTCACCTAAAATCCGTCAATTTAAATTTATTACAACATCCTGCATCATATTTTTCGTAACGTCTCATCAATACAGTTTTCTTGCGCATTCATCTTTTCAACAGGTGGACATTATCTACCATATTTTAAAGAATTCGTTGTATAGGGAATTTTTTGTAAGGCCCCCGTAAGGATATGTTAAGCTATAGAGAATCACTATGTAACCAAACCTGAGAACAAAATCGCAGTTTCAGAGAGAGTCTA